AAAAAAAAAAAAAAAAAAAAAAAAAAAAAAAAAAAAAAAAAAAAAAAAAAAAAAAAAAACGAAACTTTAAAGAGTTGCCAAGAGTTGAGTTAAAAGTTGCCAAATTATTTTAACGAAATGCATATATTCAAATCGTAACTATATATTGCAGTTATCACTTTAATCGATAGCAATTAGTAATGATTACATTATTACTTTAAATTTGAATATTAAACCTCAGCCATAATACACTCATGGACAAAAAAATTAGCGCACCAAGCTAAGGTGAGCTAATTTTTTTTATCCATGAGTGTAAATTAAAATTCAGTAATATGATTAGCCAAACTACTGAAAAAAAAAGCTCATTTGATATTAAATTACTAAAATAAAAAGATATTCTAAATATATCTACTGCAAAGAAAACTTATTAAGTCAAGGCATACCCTCCAAATTAAGATATCAAAAATAAACAAAACACCAAATTAAAAGGGATTGACAAAGTAATTACCATCCACCTGGAGTTTACTTTAAACTAACAACCCACTTTTTTTCTAAAGAAAACTTCGTATAAAAATCCACAACCTCAACAAAACTCACCAACATCATCTCATCCTTGGAAAAGGGAGAAAAAAAAAAGTAGGGAAAAGTCTGATATTTATCCCACGGAAAAAGAGTGCCAAAGCCTGGTGCCAAAAGATAGACAGCAAACAAACAATATAAAAGGCTAGATGTGGGGAAAAAAGGAAGGAAAACCAATAAAGGCAGTAGGCAGCCCATGCTGGAAAGCAATAGCCATCAGAAAAGAGTTGGGCACACAACTTTTCTCTTCATGCCTGCACAAACATTTGTGCAGTTACCAAAGATACCTACTAACTCAAACAAGTTCCTTCTTTTTTTTTTGTGCAGGAGACAACCTATACTCCTTGAGGGTATTAAGAGGGAATTTTCAAAGAAAAGAATGAATTTGATTTTTAGAGTAGAATGTATATGTATGAAGGGTTTTCTAGCAGAGCTGAATTAGATTTAGGGAGGTGGAGGACAAGTACCGACTGTAAATGTGTAAATAGGAACAAGGGGATTGTTGACAGTTCTTAAATGCCCGTTTGTAATATTTTGATAACTCTGGCCCGTCTTTTTTTATTGGTGGGGTTTAAATAAGTAGTGTATGTACGTGGAGTAGATTGAGGTAAAAATCAATTCGTATACAGAAAAATTCCAATTTTGTTTGGGTAACAAAAAGAGGTAATTAAATTAAATAAATAGGGTTTGATAAATATCAAAGGTTTGAAAAAAATCTAAATTTTGGAGTTTTCATTAGCCAACTGCAACAGCATCTGCAAAAAAACGTGTTTGTTTAATTCAGAAGCATGAGAACCATGATGTTATGGAAGCTAGCCTATGGTACCATTATTTGCACTAAAAATCAATGCATTTAACAATTATTATTGCTTTTTTTCCTATAGTAACATACAAATTTTTCCCCTTTTATTTTTTGCAGTTTTTTTGTTTTTTTTCAAGCAGTGACATTACTATTTAAAGTTTAAGGGGGGGGGATTAAGGTGAAACTCATGAATGTTAGTTTAAGATTTTCTTATATCTCTTCAGGCAATTTTATTCATTAACATCGACTAACTTTCCCAATTTTACAAAAAAGATATCTGTAGATTTAATCTTAAAATTGATGATTCCCTCATAATAAACTTATCAAAGAGTAATTTTTCTTAATGTGCAATCTCTTCCTTCTTTACTCATTTTTATTATCCAATGGAACATAAAAGGACAAAAATGAAGTTCACTTTTTAATTATTATTGTTTTCATCCTTTAATAGAGCCAATTTAATTTAAACGAAGTATGTATAGCTTTTGTCCAGAAGGTTTAATTTCGTTAAGAATACACATAAACAAAAACAAAATTTTTTTTAAATTTTTTTTTTTAAAATTAACTGCCCAGTATTTGAAATTCATTAACAATTTTATATGAAGTATTGAAGTACGCACATTTCAAATAAAAGATGTGTAGCTGATAAAAACCTACGAAAAAGCTAATTTTTTGTGCGGTTGTAGAAATTTTTGAAATAAAACGTTGAAACGGTACAAGTTGAACTACACAACTCAACATATTAACGAAGTAAAGAATTTAATTTTACAAGCAGACAACATTGAACGATAAAAAAAACGCCAATATATTTATTTTTATAGCTATTTCAAGCGTCATTCATTATTAACGCACGTGGATTCAACCATATCCCATTACACAAAATGAACAATACNAAAAAAAAAAAAAAAAAAAAAAAAAAAAAAAAAAAAAATCACAATATCTACATAAACTTCAAACTCTCGCACTGCTCTAGACTAATTCAAATAAAAGGTGGAATAATTCACACAAGCTCTAGCCGGAGACGCGAAAAATTCTAGTTCCATAACAATGGAAAGAATAAAGGAATAAAAAAAAAAGAAAAAATATTGGGAAAGATGGTAAGGCATTATTATCCTGGAACGAAACAGTCGAACTTCCTCTTCTTTCTCCTATATAAACTTCACAGTCTTCCTTCCCATTTAACTGTCCCATAAAGCAGGGGCTGAGCCCCTATGTGAACGGTAAAAGGGGGGTGGGCACACCGGGCCGCCCCCTTATCGCGCGGCCGATGCTAGAGTGTGAGAGCGTGCCGCCGAAAAGCAATGGCCACCCGGGGACAGTTTCGGCTGTTTGCCCGGTGAACAGACGTTCAGTGTAGATAAGAGAAGAAGCCCCGGTGTTAGAGAGAGTGCTAATCTGGGAGTGCCTTTTATCAGCCCTGGTGCAGGCCCTAGCCATGTTGCTGCAGGAACGAGGAAAGGTGGTGTGGAGGGGGTGATTAGTGTGAGCTCTTTTCTGGGAGTGTGTTTGTTATGTGTGTGAAATACCGAAGAGGGCTAGTTTCGGATTTTGCTTCTATTTTTCTTGGTCTTTCAATGCAAAGGAAATAAAGCTAAGCTTGTTTTTTGTTGGTTCGTTGATTTTGTGACATAAATACAGCTGTACATATGTTTAGTAGGAAGTATATAAAGTTTATTTTAACTAATGCTTTTAAAATAATGGTTTCGTGTTGAAAATTTGATGGTATGATGTGCAATGTAAATTATTAATAGTTTAACTAAAATATATGGATAGTTAATCTATAATTCACCGCTAATAATTATTTTTTGAAGCACTAACGTTGAATCGTTAAAACAAATAATTAAAATAAAAGTTTGATTCTTACTAAGTTGAAAAACAAGGATCTTTGCTACTTTGACCAAATCAGAAATTTGTTCATAATATGCTTTTTTTTAAAAAAAATTCTCATGGTTAAANAAAAAAAAAAAAAAAAAAAAAAAAAAAAAAAAAAAAAAAAAAAAAAATATTTTGTCTGGACTATGTGTTTTACAAATTTTTTATAGTTTAATCAAAGATTATGTAATTTACAAATCGATGTAAGATGATCATTATTTTTTGAATGCTAAAATGTTTTAACAGAGCAAAAGAAATTTATTTCAAGTATATAACTACATTGAAAAGAATGGCTTAAGTTATTATAAAAAGTAATAAGGAATTTGATCGTAAAAAGATTTCTTATTGTTAACCAGAAAATACATAATTTCTTAAATGGATAAATTCTGACAATTCAGATTTTGAATATTTAGGGCTAATTTTAATCGAAAAAATATAAAATAATCACTATTAATGTCTCTGATAGCTATTCGGAGAAAACCGTTAAAAAAAATTATTGAAAAGATAATTAAGTTAATGAAGATAACTTTTTTTAATTCGAATTAAAATAATTAATAATGATACTAAAGTGTTGCATATCAAATTCAGCCAAGTTCGCGTAAAGCAAAATAAAACATTATTTTTTCTATACGCACTATTTATTAATTTTTTTTTTTTGAAGGACAAAATGAATATTGCTTGAATAAATTCTAAAAAAAATATTGTAAAGATTGCTTTTAATTTTTTATTTTCGAACATTTCAATAAAATCATTCATATGCGAAAAAATAAGGGTTTATTTTTTATAGACTTGGTAGGGTTTCATATAAAATATCTTAAACTGTAATAAAATCATCCGCCTGTGCGGAAGGGACAATTTTCTTAGTAATGCAGTTGTGAGTTTATAAAATAATTAAAATAGAAACTCCGTAAAACGTTTTATAAAAAAAAATGACAATTTCAGATTTAAAAAAAAAAAATTGCATATGTATCTGCTAGTTAAAATGGAATGTATAACATTTTGCACTTTTAAATAACATGCATAATATAAGTTTAATTTTTATAATAATTTAAACCATGCACACAACCTTTCTCGCACAACAAATTTAAATTTGAGGTAATTTTATTTTTAAAGAGATTCATAAAAATGTGTCGATTAATTCCAACCTGCAACTTTATTTTCAATATTCTGTAACATATAAACTTAAAAAAGTTAATAATAAATTATCTGTAGAAAATTTGACAGTTTTTAAGTGTTTATGAGACTTCTGAGTAAAAAATAAAAAAATATATGCTGATTAAAATATAATAAATTCAGAAAAAAAAATTAAACTACTTAGTTAAAAATTTAATTTTGTTATTCATGTCAAACCGTTAATAACGAAACTGAAGAGAAAAAAAATTAAAAACTAGCAAAAAGAACCTTTATGAAGCAATTGAATAATTTAGTATTTTTCAATAAAGCTTGCATGTTTATTAACGTAAGAAAATGTACTTGTCATGAAATTTAAGAAAAAAAAATTGTATTTAAAATGTAAAATAATCAAAAATATTAATTAAAAAAAATTAAAAACAGAACTTTAAAAATGAAATTTGTAAAAGGAAAATAAAAAACTTGACTACGGAAACATTATTATATAAAAAACAACATTTTTATTTAAAAACTTGAGTTCCTTTGTACAAAATTTTTTAAAAGTCTTTCTACACATTGTCGCGCACATCGACACAGGGACAAAAACGGACATACACACACGACTGATTTCAATAATAATCGGTGGGAGGGGAAAACTGACCTGCTTTTTTGGCAGCGTATAGGTTGGCTTCTTCTTGAGCTTTACCGATATTTTTCTTGTACCTAATTCGTTTATTACCGAACCAATTTGACACCTAAAAAGAAAAAAAAAATACTTAATACAATTCACCAGAAAGCACAGTTAGGTACCATAACTTAGCACAGTTAGATACCTTAACTTAGCACAGTTAGGTACCATAACTTAGCACAGTTAGATACCTTAACTTAGCACAGTTAGGTAGTTCACCAGGAAGCACAGTTAGGTATCATAATTTAGCACGGTTAGGTAGTTCACCGGAAAGCACAGTCAGGTACCATAACTTTGCACAGTTAGGTACCTTTCTGAGTTAGGTACCATAACTTAGAAATTAGGTTCCTCAAATTCATGAACATGCACCGAGGGACCAATATTGGAATGTATAGATTATTTAATATTAGTCATATACAGGGCCAATATCGGCCTATATAGGCTGAATAATGAATATAAAATATCGGGGGAATCGTGAATCTGACTATTCTAGATAGGGCCGATATTCGAAGTTAAGTGGCAGTAAAATATCTAAGATGAAAAACAAAAATACTTAATACAATTTACCAGAAAGCACAGTTAGGTACCATTACTTAGCACAGTTAGGTAGTTCACCAGAGAGCACAGTTGGGTACCTTTCTAAGTTAGGTACCATAACATAGAAGTTAGGTTCAGCAAATTCAAATTCATGAACATGCACCGAGAGGCCAATATTGGAATGTGTAGATTATTTAATATTAGTCATATACAGGGCCAATATCAGCCTATATAGGCTGAATAATGAATATAAAACATCGGGTGAATCGTGAATCTAACCATTCTAGATAGGGCCGATATTGGAAGTAAAATATGGGGTGAATCGGACAATTAATGAATATTGGCGCAATGAGGGCCCAAGTCATTTTGCTAATAGGGTCATTACAGTAACTTTTTTTTTCACCTTTTCGCTTTCCTTTTCTAAATAAATGCTTTATCAATCTTACTTTATAGAAAAGAATGAGAATGTCTGGTCACTAGTCTAGTGACTAGTTTACACTAATGTCACTGGACAAAGTCCCTTTGTGATGCTGTTTCGGTTAAATTTGAAACCCATAATAGTGATATTCGAAACGATTAATATACATTTAATTCGAAATTCATTAGGTTTAGATAATTTAAAATTCCTTAGACTTATTCAATACAATGCATTTATTATTTAACTCAATAAAAGTTCAATATTATCGTATTAGAACTTATTGACTTTTTCTTAGAATGAAAAAATCATTTTAAAACGCAAGCGTGAAAATAAAATCCCTATTTCAATTACAACTATATATCCAGAAACATTTTGGTATTAAAGCTTAAAACTAATTTGACTATTAGAATCTACAGATGATCAACATGGAATTAAAAATCTCCTCTTCTAATATTTCTACAGTACCGAATTTTTTTTTTTTTCCTTCTCAATTTTAGTTTCATTGACCTCGCCACAATTATTTTAGAGGATAGAGTAGATAATTTTTGGCATTAACTCTGTACTTGATAACCAATATTACGGTCTATAGTTGTGGACAACAAGAGATTGCTTTTAAATTTGATACAAGCCTCTCAAATTTTAATATCACTGTCATTACCTGTTTAAATGTTATCTCAGACTGCAACTCTCGGAATTGAATACTGGCATCCGTAGTTGTTGATTATATTTATATTTAAAAAAATTAATTAAAATCACCATTTAAATTACACCTGGTTACTTTAAAACTAACTCTAATATAGGGTGCGTAGCCAAATTATTCAACAAAAAATAAGCACCTTTGAAAGCACTTTTCAAGCACTCCAATAATATTTTTAAGCACTTTAAAAGAATATCATAATCAGGCAGGTTTGGAAAGCTTTTGACAATTGACGGTATTATCTGTTTTTTTTTAACAGTCATGTCAAAAAAAATTCTTTTGACATTGTTTTTGACAATTGTCAAAATTTTTAAATCATGTAAATCGAATGGCGTTTTCATAAGCTACGGTAGTAATAGATTGGGGTTGAATTAATTGTGAAAACGTTGAATAGAACAATGTGAACAGTGTCTTTTTACACATTTCGTAGCGAAAATCAACATGGTAAAGAAAAAATCTCAATTTGGAAAAGGGAAAATTAAGCACTTTTTAAAAACACCCAATGAAAAAAGCACCTTTAAGGGCTTTTAAAAAACGAAAATCGAAAATAAGCACCTTTAAGCACTTTTTAAAAATGCTACGCAGCCTGTGATAGTACCTTAATATTAATTTGACTACTAGAAGCCCATGACAGCAACTTATTGACTATTGACATTGTTAATTTTGAACAAAATTGTCGCTAATTAAAAACAAGAATTAAAGATACTTATTTATGTTGCAAAGGTATATATTTACCTGAGAGACTGTGATACCACACTTCCTCGCCAGTTCTTCTTTTGCTTCTTCACTAGGGTAGGGATTACTGAGGTGGGAATAAAAGTATTCGTTGAGGATTTCTGTTGCTTGTTTACTAAAATTCCGCCTTTTTCTCCTGCAAGAAAAACATCATAAAAAGGTGAACCAAAAAGCATAAATTACAAAAAATTGAGCACAATAGATAAGAATTTTATTATTTAGTGCTAGCTATGAATGGAATGCTGTAGCAAAAGTTATAATTAAAAAAATCGGAACAGTAAAATTTTTTTGTTTCAGGCTGCAAACGATAATCCTTAAAAGTCGAAAAAACAAGAACTATTAAAAAAAACTAGAGGCGCAAACGATAATTTCTCAAATTTGAAAAGAATGCAGGAGCTTTTCTCTAGAATAAGTTGTAGTTCAAAAGAGATTTTAAGAGATAATAGAAATAGGTAAGAATTACAAAACTTATGCATTGATGAGAATACTAACGAAGAAAAAACATTGTTTCAAACTTAAACATTTTAAATGTATTCATATTTCTCTTCAAGCGCAATTTTCCCATAGTTTGCTGGAATTAAATGAAACACAAATACTCGTATCAAAGAAAGCAAATGTTTATGCAACGGCTTTTTTTTTTTTTTTTTTTNTTTTTTTTTTTTTTTGGAAAAAAAAACAGAATAAATATAAATTCAAAATAAGAAAAAGCATCGACGTTGCAAGGGTAACATGATGATAAAAAATAGAGCAAGTACTAGGGTTTTAGAGGTGTAACGAGGCGAAAAACAACCATTCTAAGAAATAAAAAAAAAGAACTGAAAGGGACAATTTACATTGTCTCGCTAATTCTCCAGTCTCCAACCATTAAACCACGGGCAAAACAATTTCCACGCCTGGTTTAAAGGTGCAAAAACAAGTAGAATAAGATAGAAAGAAGAAAAGAAAACAGGGGTGATCGTAGAATGGAATTAAAAGGAGAAAAAGAGTATCAACACCCAATACCGATTCGGATGGTCGTATGGGGATAATAGATTCAAAGGAAAACTGGAAATGGGGCAAGTATTTTCATTAAAAGGAAACTTAGCCTAATCCCCTTTTCACCGTTTTTACCTTAAATCGGGGGATGTGTACAAGAAAACATCCTTACAGGGGCGATTGAAAAGATATTGTTCAATAATTACTGATGAAAAAGAATCTTCAGAATGAAGCTATCAGACTGAAGCTATTGATAAGAATATAACTTTAGCAGTTTAGGAATTTTAAACCGCATTTTCAGAAAGTATTTAAGGCAAAATAAACCAAATGCATAATAGATATTTAAAAAAAAGGTAATTTTATTAACAAAACAGAGGATTTTGTGTTCAGTGATTAAAGTGTAAATTAATTAGAAAAAAAATTTAATAAGACTTAATTCAATGAAACCAATTTTGTTGTAAAAATGTTATAGTTAAATTGATATAATTTTTACTACATTTTTTCGCAATAAATTCTATACATGTATATGAAACCCTTGCTTGAATAGCAGGCATAAATTTATAAAAAAAGAAATGTCGTTCACGTTCGTAAAAGTCTTTTTTCTATCATCTTATTTAAAAACAAGTACACATACAGCTTATTTCTAGAGTCAAAGCCAATTATATAGGCTAGGGATTAAATAAGAATAAAAATTAAAAATTTATACATTAAGGCTATGTATCTAAAAATATATTAAGGTGGAGCCCTATTATTCGTATAAAATACACCAACTATAAAGTAACCATAATTTGTTAAGTTAACGAAATATTTATATATCAAAATAGCAATAATTTAAAATTTTTATAGACCAAAATAGCTATTATAATAAGTTGACCTTTAAGAGTCAACTTAATCTTTTTTTTTCAAACAGCTTTTAAGTTCTACTGCCGCACAGTCATTTGTTAGAAAAACTGAATATTTTATTAATAATCATGAATAAATAAATAAATAAATAAATAAATAATACGCTCTTTTCCTATTTGCTATGGTCTACCAAAAGTAGACCACGTTTACTCATCTATTATACAAGAATTTATTTACATTCATGTAAATAAATTCATAAAACATTCTATGTACCAAAATTTTTAAATTCAGAAAAATTATTTTTTTAAAAAAATTTTTTTAAAGAAAAAAATTCTTATTTTTAGTTAATGAGTGCATTTAAAATGCTTCAATTTTCTTATTCATTATTATTCCATTCAATTTTCAGAAAAACAACAAAGCTAGATTTCAAAACATTAAAGCATCTCATGTTAAATGTTACCGTATTTACAAGCATTTAAGATGGATGGACAAAAATAAACCCAAAAGAATTTTAAATAAATATAAAAAAAATAGCTATCTAAACTTTTTCCAAAGGCATCGAAAAATAAAAATTCATTTAAGTACTTCACACATTACAGAACATTTATAATATATTTTATCGCCAAACATAAACTAAAATCTACAGAAAAAAGAAGAAAAAAATTTTCTTTTTTTCCTAGTTCGATAAATGAACCGAAAATTCCGTACCTAAACTAACAAAAGCAATTAAAAGACATCACGATTAAATTAAGCAGAACATTCCACCAAATATATAAACACTGGAATTAATCTCCATCCATTAAGAACTCAAGTTACATATTTAATGGTGCACTGGACGCATACCTGTAAACCTAAGTAGAAAAAAAAAATCATCTTTTCCAAGATGAGATCTTTTTCTTTATTCTCTATGGGAGCACTAATGCGTTTTCTATTCGGATAGTCCTTTTTAGCATCTTATTTTCCTACCAACTTTATCCCCCCCTCTTCTTTCCAATAAAGAAGGGGAGGGGAAGAGCTGAGAAGATTAAGATTTCATCCCCTTTTCCTAGACCATGTATATATACGCTCTATACTCGTTAGCAAAATAATTGACTGAAGCCAGCAAGCGACAACTAAGCTGCCGGCCCAAGTAGCATTTAATGCAGCACTGGCTATTTAATCCTTTTCTGCCGGTTAGAAATTATTTACCACTTGCGTTGGGGCTACACATTAGTTTCACTTGGAGTAAAAATGGCAAATTCCTCCTTTTTTTTTTTTTATTCCTCAACCCAACCCTCTTTCTAAATTTCTTTTTCAACGTGCGTTAAAAGAGAGAAAATGTTTACGCGTTTTTGGCGCAGGGTCTTAAGACTTTAAGATTTAATTTAGCCCATAAAATCAATTTCTTTTGGAGGGGGATTTTTAAGGTGATTTTCTTGGCGAAAACAACTTCTTTTTTTCCTTCACGAGCACTTCTTCGTTGGAAACCCTATTCCCAACGATGCAATTTTTGCAGGCAGGTGGTTTCGAGTTTTAATTGGAGGCAATCAGGAAAATTTATTGCTCGAAATTTCATACGTTTTAATTTACACCGTTGAAGCGAGAAGGGTGCTTTAACACGGGTCAGAAAAAACTTCCATAAGAAGAAATGTAGGAATTTAAAAATGGCGGTATCATTCAAGTCCCTGAAGCGAACCACCAGCAAACGCTTTGCGTACTGAATTCAAACTATCATCATATTTAACGCAATAAGAAAGACATGAGGATGCATTAGAAAAAGTAGAGCTAAAAGTTAACGTTAAAAAGTTTAAGTCGTATTGCAAAAGTGATGCATTTATCTTTGTTAATTAGGAGGATTTCATTAAAGCAAGAAAATTCATAGTTCTAGTTGGCGGTGGAGCACTGGTGTTTGTAGAGATTAATGACGCCATCTTGATCTTTCTAGGAATAAGTTGCATGGAAATGCATAAAAGATAACTTTTTATAAAGCGAACCAGAGTTTTTAAATTATTTCTTTACTGGAATAAGAAGCCAAGCCCTTCTGAGTACGCTTCTATTTGTTAAAAGATAATTTTAAAATACTAAAGAAGAATACGCAGAAAACCTTATAATTAAATGTTTGGATTTTTTAAAAAAAAAGTTTTTAATTAATATACAAATACATAATTGTATAAATCAAACGAAAGTAACACTTTACAATGTTACTAGACTGTTTCGCTATATAAATTTAGTAGTAATGAGCTAATACAATCAAAATCTAATTTTAAATATGGGCCTATAGTCCACACTTCTCTCGAAGATGATATTTATAAATTTAACTATTCCTTATGACTGTTTCCTGGTAAGTACTTTACATGTCTCTAGAATTAAGTAGATTACAACAACAAAAAAGCTCATAAAAATCGTTCTCCTGAACTATATGAAAATTTAGCTTATTATCGTGCTTTAAATAAATCATATTTTATTGGTAAAAGGATTTCTAATAAGGGCCGAAAACTAAAAATCGTCAGCATTAAAAATTGGTTGAAACTGAGAAAAGTAATAGGTTTCTGGTAAAAATTAAACATAATGTTGATAGAGCGGAACAAATAAACAGTTTTTAAATATGATCAATCTGATTTGAGAAAAAAATGAAAAATAGCCTCAGAATGATGTAAGTCTAATGTGAGAGAAAGCCTTATTTTTATTCATTTTTTTTAAATACAGATAATATTATTTGTACTTTAAACTTCAAAAATCATTTCATTAGATAAACAAAAGAAATGCCACGCGAACATTCTATGTTAAACCAGATCATGCAATGCCATCTTTTCCAATATATAAGACCTCTAATCTATCCTCATCGAAATCTTCCCAATACACTAGAAGGAAAAGGGGGAACAAAATCCAATAAACGGGCAGCAGTACAGCATCCTTCCATCCCCAAGTGATGCGGAAGATGAAGCTCAGAGAGGCATCAAGGGATGTGGGAGAGCAGGGATGGAGAGTTATGGGAGTAGCCCACGGTCGACGGAGTGCAGGGCCCATTACACGCCCATATGGGCCCGGCGTAGCTTAATTCTTCCGCGTCAGGCATTCCGGAATGACGCAATTCAGGGTCCCGGAGCCTTAATCCTCAGTGACCGGACTTTATTCTGCTTGTCATGCGTACGTCATGGTCGGATCTGTCATCGTCCGGCCTTTTACCCCTTGCCAAGCGTCCGGGAATGCTTTGAGCCATTATTGTTTTCTATCTGGTCTTATGGGGGGAAGGAAAAGAAGTTTTTGTTAAATGTTTGGGAAAAAGAAGGTCGAATAATGCTGACTTTGTGGATAAAGGGATATGGTCCATGTGGAACGGTTTACCGAATATATTTTGGTTCTTCAAATTTTTTTTATTTTTTATCTTCATTCGCAAACCCTGACCGCAAAACAAATTTTTTATAAAATAAACCGTTAAGTCCGTAGATACGGGTGGAAATTTAAAAAAAAAAAAATGAATAAATAAATAAAGCAATTTTAATGATGGAACTTAATGTTAAACGTAATTTAATTGATTAATCTATCAAAATAAAATAAGCACTGTTTCCTAAAGGAAAAAGAAAGATATTTTAATTAAGAAAAGTTATTTTTTTACAAGCGTGATTTTGCTAGAAGCGCACATTAACCGCATGGCAAAATTTCGTCATTAGTATATTGCAGTAAACAGCTGATTATCAAAAAATAACTTAAACATACAAATATGAAATATTACAAACTCATGACAAAGAAAAAAATATTGAAACATAATTGAAATTTACGAATTATAATTTTTAATTTTTTAAAGTTGAAACCAACTTATGCTGTCTAAATATTTTACAGAAACAGTTTATTCGTTCTAAAATGGGAAAAGGAGGATTTTAGGGAACTTGTTACGTAAAAGAGGATATTATAGTTCAAAGAAAAGTTCAAATCCTTCTTTAATTAAAATAATTTTACTCATAGAATTGATATGAATATTGAGTAAAACCTTACTCGTCTTTAAAGCTACTGAGAGCTAGTTTTGGGAAGTCCAGATGTTACCCTAATGCTTTTTAATAAAAATTTAAGAGCATTTATTTTAAGTTACATACTTTGATATAAATGTAGGAAATATAAAAATCGACACATTTTAAATTCCTAGTCAACAAACTATTAATGTTGATTTAGAGAGTAAGTTAAGCTATTTAGGTCTAAGGTCATCAGTGACAGGTTTTGGTAAGTGACAGTTTAAATAAAAAGAAAGATTAACATACCTGGCGTCGAGAAACCTAGACCTGAGGATCATGACTGCTTCACACGTACTCTGTTTCAACTGGACTTGGATGGAGTTGAACTTCTTGTGGATTATTTGAACCATTCGCTCGATTTCTTTCGGCGTTATCGGCCTTGTTCGACTTTGTTCTCGTAGCAGGTTCATTACGTGCGTCGTGAACTCGTTACATGCCTAGGATTGAACAAATAAAATATTTAGAAATCTAATGAACAGGCCATAATAATAATGACACACAAAAGCACAAAATGACACACAAAAGCAGCTAAAGATCAGTATATGACGTTTTATGAAACCTGTAGCTATCTTTTAGATAAAAGTTACCTGTAGATACTATGAAACCTGCAGATAGTATTTTTTAGTGACCTGTAGATAGTATGAAAAAGTATAGAAATCGCGGCAGTAGTAAAAATAAAAAAATCCAAAATCCAAAAAGCATTTATATATACATAAAAAAAAGGCAATTTTGCACCATATTACAATTTAAATAACAGATATTATGATTCGTTAAATCAATTTTGTCTTATGTCGGCTATGCCCAATAAAATAGTAGTATTTGCAATTATTGAAACAAGATAGGCTATTGTTTTACTAAATACCAGGTAATCCAAAGAGTTTAAGAAGTGGTTTATTTGGACTGAAATTATATCCGTTTATTTATATTCTACATTAAATTTCAATACATTTTCTTTTAAAACTTTGATTCACAAAAAGCCACTCTAATTAGAAGATGATAGAAGCAAGCAATATTTTCCAATATTCAACTGTCCAAACTTCAAACGGTTCATTAAATGTGTTGATGACGGATAAAACTTTGTTGCTGATACAGTTAAGCATGCATAACAACATCCCTATCAAGAAACAACAAAATAAGAAAAACAAACTGAAAAAAAAAAATAAAAACTCTTAAGAGGAAAAATTTTTCACAAAAGAATTGTCTAAAATCCGATTAAATAATTTTCATAAAATGGTACATAACAAAACACAAATTGGCTATAAAAACTGAATGAAAATGTTTAAAGTCTTAGAACACTGCAAAAAACGGTATACCGTTCAAGCAAACGACATCCAGCCGTAATCAAATTTCACGCAACCGCGAGTTCCAGACGGCCGAACTTTTACAACCTCATTCCAACAAAAAGCGGTAGAAACCACATCAAAAGGCATTCCTTGTTTTTATAGCATCAGCGGTTTTCATGATACATAAACTTCCAATTAGGAGATCCCCCACCCACACCAAAGCTTCCAAAAAAAAAAAAAGACCTCCTAACCACGGTGAGGTCTAGTCCGGTTTGGGCGCACCATTAAATATGACAAGCATCATCCAGATCCGGCAAAATAATCTCCCACATTATCCGGAAGGGTATAAGTATAGGACAAAAAAATCGATAGCTGACCGGCCCACCCCCATAAACTCCACTGGTCAGGTTTTATGAGAAAAACCCTCCATAGAATGAAGGGGTACAGTATTATAACATAATACCAACTCGCTTTTCTTTTTATCTTTATATTCCCGATTCTTATCTTTATTCCGATAGATGGTGTTAACGCTAGGAGGGGTGCAGCACCACCAGGTGGCTCATGGGGGGAATTTATATATCCACCAAAACCTAGGCTTACGTCTTCTCCAATTAGCGCTGATATAACTCATGATATCTTTCTCTCCGTATCCACGCACCCCTCGCTTCTTGGTTGCTTAACTAGTTTAGCCTGCCCGGGTTTTCGGGCCAAGTACTATATACTTCCCTGGTAGCGCAAAAAGCTAATCTAGTCCCACATCAAGTGCCTCAGATGGAAGAAGAGGGGATGGGGAAGATATTCCATAAGGCTTATGGAAAAGCTAATCACATTCGGGGAGGCTGTGTTTTGTTTCACCACTGACAGCTAACGCTCTTTTCCTGCTCTTGCTCGTTCCTTTGAACGCATCCTTCCATGAAACGTCTCTTTTTCTTTTTCTGTCTTGGGATGCTGGAAGAGCCACCTGAATGAGTAACAGGATTCCTCTTGCGCATCTTTATGTTTCGGAAGAGGCAAAAAAAAGAAGAAAACGAAGAACAATCCGGTAAAGCAAACGCTGCCCGTTCAGGATGTTGAGATGAAGTGTTTTCAGCGATTCAACTAATGGCGACAGAGGAGTAAACATATAAATTTTTGGATATAGGTTTCTCCTTTATCAAAAGTGAAATGAAGTATTTCGGTCTAAAATTTCACAGCGAAAACACTAAAAATGGTTTGTAACATGCTGACTTCCAGAATTTTGCAAGCTTAACATTTGTTAACAATTTCTCATAATTTCAGTAGTGTATACGAAGCCCTGGCAATATAAATACAAATCTTGATCCACTAACACCGTTTGCTGGATTTTATGAGAATAGGTAATAATTAAAAAGTAAGAATTTAAACAATCAGATCTGTTTAAGGTTATTTTTAATGGAGAAAAATCAACATTATTACCAATAAAAACTCTCAACAATTATAATAAATATACTAAATTTATAGCAGTTAGTTTTATAAACAATACGCAGCAGACATATGTAGGTCCAAAAATAAAAAGAAAGAATACATAAGTTACGAGAGATTTTCAGAAGAATTCTTTTATAATTAAAACGTAATATACCGGTATTTTGAATTAAATAATTGCAACAAACATTATAGAAACAAATTCAACATTTAGATCGATTGAAGTTGGATAATTAAACGTAATTCATTTGCGAATATTATTGTCTACTTTCATTCCTTGCTAATATTGCAGCAAATTTGTATTATATTAGTTAAAGTTAATTTATTGTAGAAGTTGCAACAAATTTTTACAATGAGCTCCTATATAATCCTAATTTTGGAATCTTCCAGTTTGCAATGCAGACAAATATTAAAATTGATACTCAAAGCTCATTCTTATTTGGCGATTGCACTCGGATATAAAAATTATAATTACAAGCTAAATATTATAGTTTACAGCTCTTTAAGATACACAAAGTTTTCTTTTTTAAAAAGCAATTACAAGTTTTTTTAAACAACTAAAACATACAATTGTCTTAAAAAAGAACTAGCTTTTGGTCCAATTTAGGAAAACCAATTGCATTGAAGTTTAAATGCCTATGGCAATAATTTTTATCCATTAGTTCTAAAATGTGCGCCCAGAAAAGCAAATAAACATTAAATCCCTACGTTTCAAACGAAAACTATATATCATTGGCATTTAAGAATCGCTAAAACCAGAAATCTTGTACCCTGTCAACCGAAATGTGCAATAACAGGTAAAGCTTCGATTATAATTCAAAATACCTAACTAGAATCTTTATTTTTGCGAACGCTTTGGAGTTGAAATCGCGACAGGGGGGTTCCAAGCGACCATTAATCAAGAAAGAGTGGAGGTTAGCAAAAGCGAGGGGGCAATCACGGGTAATCAGGCTCTCGATTGTTTGCTCGTGCCTTTGCGTAAAGGCTATTAATCAAAATCCTGCTTACTAATGACACAGACCAGAGGTCAGGAGGGTTAACCACCACGTGGATCTGGCTCGACACCTGCTGCTGATAGATTTTTCTGAGGAGAAGGATGGTGTTTTAAAATTCCTCCAATTATTCTCTTCCAGTTACGGTTCTCTCCCACACAGAAATTTAATACGATTTTTACAAAAAGATGAAGGGTTTAAGGTAGCCATTGTGCAAGAATATGAACGTTCCTTAAGCTCATGAGTTTCTCTATTTAGTTGTTGAGCAAAAGTTTTGATGAAATATTATTTTCTTCCATAGGCTAACTCATTAAATATATACTGCCATACAATCGAAAAATAATCGTAAGCGACAAAAAATTTCAAAATTGAGATGTTTATATATTTGGCGTCTATGTATAAGCTACATATTGCAAAAAGAAAAAAAAAGTTTTCCTATTAAAAATTTTGTTCCACCAGTTCTATGAAATTCTATTTTGGCGTTCATAGCATTAGCATTAGCAATAGGAAGAGAATAGTTGTCAAGCTACTTTTCTCGAAATCTATCGTGAAGCACTTACGTTGTTGTTGTTTTTTTTTTTTTTTCAATTGCACGGCAGTATATTATACTTTTTAAAATTTATTCGAATCAAGAAATGATCATCTATTTTATTATTGTGTACAAATAAACAAAAAAGAGGAATATTTCTTTAACGTTCATAAAATTGCTATTTTTTTTTAGTTACATTTTAATACTACTATTACTCCATATTTATTCGTGCAGTTATATCTTATGGTTCTAACAACACTGAGAATGCATAAAAAATTCAAACCTAAGTCAAAGAAGGTATGAAAAAATACCAATTAATCCATCAGATTTAATTTTTACAGAAAACTATGGAACAAATAAGCGGAAAAGTGTAGCATAAATAAATTATTCCCATAAATGAAATATAAGTTTCCATGTCATGATCATTTTTACTCTGATGAACTAATTAGTCATGATCATTTTTAACGAGCTTCATTATAGCAAATCTATTTGAAGTGATGTTGGTCCAGTAGGAAGGCTACAAGTTTTTCTGAAAAAACTTCCAATTTAATAGGGTGGGAGAGGAGTAGACAGGACATTTGAAATTGATCAAGATTCACGATCGTTTTAGAACATTTCTCCTCTTGTAAGCACTTGAGTATTTATATTAACGAAAAATTTTAATTAAACAGTTATTTTTACTTATTTATTTTTTTATGAAAATTTCTAGATTTGTTAATTTGAGCGACAAAAAATAATGTTTGTTATCTCGTTGTACCGTTTTCTTTTTGTATAAAAATTCTTTTGGAGGGTTACTTAAAAAAATGTAAAGTTATGATCATTTAAAAAAAAGATAATAAAATAAACAAAGAAGAACTGCTTTTAACCAGAATCGTAAAAGTAGGATAACAAAAAAGGCATAGAACTTGCCTTTAAACTAAAAATATAGATACTGTATGAAAATGGAGAGAGTTTATTGATTGAGTCGGCTTTGAAACCTGCCTCACTTATCATATTTAGTATAAATTCACACGATTACGAGCTGGTTACCGAGCCCAATACTGTGTTATCTAAATTTTTTGGCATTAATGATTCGAAAACTTGATGTGCCTTTCTGCAACTGGGGAAATTTCATTGAAATCGTAATAATTCTTTCAGATAACTAAAATTTTTTTTCTCTTCTTCGTTCTCTTTACGCGAAGACACTTCGTACA